TAGGTTTTCCCTTCACAACGATGCTCCACTTTGTGTTTGAGACATAAAGCTGAGGCTGTTTGCACACCGTAGACCACGTACATCCGTGTCATGATGACAGAGAGCCAACTACTGCGACCGACACACACTCAGCACACACTCAGGTGTACAGCAAGGGGAGGGCGGACTGGCTCACAGAGAGGGAGGCTGGACCAGAGCAGCCTGAGTGAGAGGGAGGGGAATAAACAGAGCGCTCCATCGCTCCGGCCGCCAGTGTGAGCAAGAGAGCAACCACCGCTAGCAGATGTTTCAGCCTGGAGAGGCGACTTAAGCCCGACTTCACAGAACTGTTCGAAGATCACTCTGGAGCGCGGCCAGTTGGGGATTTTAAACCTGCGGCTTGCTTTCCTGAGACAGAGCCTGGATGGCACACTCTGACTGATTCAGAGGAAGAGCCGAGTAGTTTTAATTCCTGCACAGGGAGCAACATGCATATCCTGCAGCCGTACTGCATTAACAGGTTGGTATGGAGGACACAGTTCATGGTGGCACCTTCATGTAGTTTCAGTAGTTTCAGCGTGTAATTTCTGCTCTGGTCACCATGTTAAATTTGCAAATCCAGTTAGTCGGTGGAGGAATTTCTCAAACAAAATAACTTTGGATCAGCTGATAATTGAAGCGACATTAAACAGCCGCTCGATACTAAGACACAGAATCTTCAGACCCACAGCAGGTTGTTTTGCTTTTGATGTTTTTGCAGGAGGCAGCAGGCATGTGATTCTCTAAACCCTGTTTGCTAAATAAAGAGTCTGCTGTTAAAATTCCCAGCACTCTGAGCAGCTTTCAGCCTCCAGGCTTTGCTTTCAAGTTCCTCCTCGATTGCATTTTTTTGGCGAGTTTTATAAATGTTCCCACATTTCAATTTGAATATTCAGTATGCACTCTTACCATAGCGCACCTTCAATGCCAATTTAATTGCTACATCTTCACTGACTATTAAATATTTGTAAGATTGAAACAAATTGTTATTATTTCTGAGCAAATTGCTATTGTTATTGTGCTTTCAGCGCCCCTAATGGTTAAAGTTGCATTATCATAATGTTTGAAACGCATTCGGTTGATTCTGGAATCGTACTGCCTCTGGCCCGTCGGCTGGTTCCAGCTCGTAACCACGGCGTCGCCTCCGGTTCCACGCCGGACTGCCAGCTCTCCTGGAGCTCTGCTGCTGTCACTCCTGCTCCGGTTGCAAAAACATGACCTGGCTGAATTTAACTGATAGTTTGTTTTTTGTTGTTGTTGTTTTTTTTCCCCTTGTCTTTGTAATGCAGCTCGCTTTCATCAGAAATGCGATTGCGGCGTCTTCCCACCACGGCACAAACCGAGCGTGTTGCGTCGTAATTAAACCCACAAAGCACCCGCTCCACCGTGAAGAAGCAAGAAAAGGAAAATGTCAGCAACAATTAGTCTTTTTTCTGGTTGGAGAAAGAGATGGGATTTGACAGCGAGTGAGAGGAGCCAATGGGAGAGGGAGGCTGGTGTTATCTAATGCTACTGATGGAGGTTAGGAGAGGGGGCCGAGGGGTTCAAGGGCAGCCGCAAAATAGAAAAACACTAGAATCAAATGAGGGAGGGGGATTTGGTGTGGAAGCATAGATTTGGAGGCGGAGATGGGAAAGGAGATGTACGTCCAGCGGGCGGCCGGGTGCGGATTGGCTGGTGCTGACCTCTCCCTGGAAGCGCCAGGAAAGAGGAAACATAGAAAATCACAGAACAAGACAGGAGGCAGTAAAGAGATTACGAAAGGAATTATCTTTATCCTGGAAAATCTGCATGTGCCGACTATTTGTGCATGTGTTCATCCATTGATATGATTTACTCATTTCTGAGTAATCCCAAAAAAAACCACTGAAATTATAGAATGGCCTGTCCTTAGGGTACCTGGAGATGGATTGGAATGAGATGTAGGATTAAAAAAAAAAGATACAACAATGTGTTCTAGTCCAGGTAAATATTCTACACACCCTGATATCCTCTGGGAACCATCACAGCAGAAGGCGTTGATAAAGAGGTTAAGTATCAGGACTAGATCAAACCAAAAATATAAATGTAATAGTGGTTAAATGATCCATCCGCCTCATGGGATGAGATTTGATCAGTTTTATTCTTTCCTCATTTCAACTGAATAATCTAGAAAACTGTCAGAGTTAAAGCAATTCAATTCAAATTCCAAAATATTCTTTTGATGCCAAATGGAAATGAATAGATTTCCCTTATCTTAGGTGTAGGACCAGGCATATTGTATCGTTCATTATTTATCGTGATAGATTTTGTATCGTGACAATGATTTAGATTTATAGTTTAAACTATCAATTCCGATTAGTGACGTTTAAAACCCCACAAAACTATCAGTACTGTAAGGATTGCGAGGTTTACTATTTTCTCCATCAATAAATATCAATACATTTGAAAATATGGCTAAATGCAGTTACTGTGTGTAGTTTTAGTCCGTTAAAAAAGTAGTTCTTATTGTCAATTTGATTGTTTTCACAGCAGCGCCACAGAATACTGTAATCAAACTGCTGAAGTCCGTATCGCCCAGAATGGACCCATCATGCTACCTGAGAACTAGTTATGTTCAACAGCTGGACTGGAAAATGTTGCTGTTTTAATATCTCGCGTTGATGATGAAGTGACCCGACTCAGGGCCAGGAAGCAGAACATCTGTGCTTTGTGATCATCTGTCTTTCTTATATTCAAAAGTATTGCTATTAGCTAACTGGTTCTAACTTTTACCTACCCCATAAGTTTTCACAGTAAATAGAAAAACTTTCTAAATCTTATTCATCTGCAAAAACATTTACTATTGCTTCCGTAAATATGAGAGCTTGTTTTTCAAGCTTTGCAAAGTCAAATATTTATGGTGTTTATGGAGAGCCTAAATAGAGTGTAATAATTTATTGACAGAGGACAGTTGCTACTAATTCCTGTTGTTACTAAATTAATCTTTCAGACTCAATATTGTTTTGGGTCATGTGATAAATTGACCCAGTTGTTAACCCTCCCCCACCCCACTGTCCAAACCGGTCCCAGACGAGTCAGTATTTCAACGGTAAAACCTCGTCCATATAAACCTTTTCCTGATTGTCCTTTTCTGTGCGCTTTCAAGGATTTAGATGCTGAGGATTAAGAGGCGACTTTTCCCGTTCTTTTTGTGGAATCCCTGTTGCCCACTCGTCTCTCTTTCAGTGGCAGGAATTTCCAGCTTCCAGCTGCGAATGATTGAATTGAAGTGACATCGGGGTGGGGCTACAAATTGATTGGCTCAATGATTTAGGGCTGGGCCTGCGGCAGCATCCTGTATATCTGAACAGCTCACTGAATCTGATATTATGAGACAAAAGCAGCTTCAGGAGGGAGAGAGTTTTTTGGATGTTTTTCTCCTCATACTCTTGCATTTGGTCTTTCAAGCCCTAAAACTGTTCTGGATGTACAGTTGAAAGCGGAAGTTTAAAAAAGATCCATAGATACATTTGACCAAACCTCTCCTGCTTTAGTTCAGCTGGAATTACCTGAATTATTTCTATTTGCTATTCATTAAAGTTTTCAAGATTAGAAGTTTACATTTGTCTCTCTGGGTTTGTTAGCATTGCCTCTGAACTACATAAATTAGGTCAAATGTTTTGGGTTCCTTTCCACAAGATTCTCCCAAAGGTTTGCTGGAGTTCTGGTCCATTCCTCCAGATGGAACCGGTGGAACTGAGTCGGGTTTGTAGGCCACCTTGCTGCCACACGCCTTATCAGACCTCCGTAGCAAATCCCTGTAAGACTGAGATTCAGGCTTTGTGATGTCGCACCAGAACTTTGACTTTGTTTTGTTTTTTTAAACTTCTAAACCACTTTGACTGTTTGCTTTCTTTCTTTAGCTTTAATATTCCCTCATAGTGTTCTATCCTCCTGATGCCATCTGTTTTCTGAAGTGCATCAGATCCTGCTGCAGCAAAACATAACGCAACATGATTCTGTCACCGCTGTGCTTCATAGTGGCAATGGAGTTCCCAGGCTTACAAGCGTCCCACTTTTTCCTCATTATGGCCAAACAGTCGCACTTTAGTTCCATCAGAACACAGAACATGTCTCCTGTAAGGACGTCCCAATCCAATATAGGATATTGGAAATCAGTCCGTTTCATTGTTTCTATCCAGCAGTGCTTTAACCCAATGGTTAAAAATAAATAGGTCAGTTGTTCTCATACTTATTGCTGTTGACTAGTGTTCTCTGTTTGAGTAATATCACATGATCAAGCCTTTTATAACATTCCACGCAAAAAAAATAAGCATTAAAATTATGTATGATTTGTGCTGATATTGAATTGGGTCAATATCAGTATCAGTTGATACGCGAAGCTGCGATATTGGTATCGCATCAGGAGTGAAAAAGTTGTATCGGGTCAGCCGTGGTCTCCAGAAGTGAAGGTTTTTGTCCCTATGTGCGTCTGAAAACTGCAGTCTGGCATTTCATGTGTTGTGTGACACATTAACAGGCCTCTCCTCCTTACTGAGTGGCTTTCAGCCCACGTTAGTCCAGCACACGCTTCACTTGGGATAATGACGCTGCCTCACTGTGCTTCAGCAGCATCTTCACCAGGTCTTTGTCCTGTGACTGACCTGCACATTTTGGATCCAAACCCATTCAGCTCTGGAACTCAGAACCTTCCTCTTTCCTGAGCGGTCTGATGGTTGGACATCTCCATCATGTCTATAGAGGCGTGTAACTTTTCTGAACAAATGAACGAGGCAACCTCAAGCATCTGGAGATTGTTCCCAATTCTCTTCCTGAAATCCTGGCTGATTTCCTTCGGCTTTCCCGTCACGTCAAGCTAAACAGCCGTATGTTCTGGGCTGTGAAATACATCCACAGGTGTTCCTCCGATGTGTCAATTAACCTGTCAGACATCTCCAAAGCCATGTTATTTTATTCTTGCTATTATCACTGATCACCGTGATGTTGCTGTTTTCCTCCAGATGGCCAGATGTGCCGAAGAGAAAGAGGAAAAACAGCCAGTGCTCCATGAAGAGCATGTCTGGTAAGGATTGTTAATCTCTTCCTCCCTCATTCGGCTCATGTTGTCACCTCCAAACAGCATAGCGAGCAAAACCGATCACAATTCAAAACAGGTTCCCGCTAAGAAGCTCAGGCTGGAGGATTCAGCCAGTCAGTGACTCCACAGCTGGCTCTCCTGAGCTCTGAGTGGTTTTCTCATGAAATAATCCCCTCTTCACCACTTTTCATTTCCCCTCTGAGGCTTTGTTGGACAGTTACCCACCGAGGTGTGATGACCTGCTCAGAGATGATGATAGGGATATGAAGGCTCAGAGTTTAAGTGCACAACTACTAAGTGACGTATTGCAATTTAAAACAGAAGAAATGAATCCAGGAACATGCAGTGTTTCATGTCTTTGTACCACTCAGTGGGTCTGAAAGCAGTTGATCCCTAACTGAAAAATGCACTATAATCATCCGCTTTTTATTTGCAGTGTATTAATTATAACAATTTTATTGTTTATTTTATTTGTGTAAAGTGTGAAAAGTCAGACACACAGAAAGGAGCGGGGTGAAATAACTTTATTCTTCTGCCTACCTCCTTTTCAAATAAATAGTTTTCAAACTACATATCATATTTGCATTGTATGTTACAAATAAATCATCTCAAACTTAACAGCAACAAACAAAAATATAGATGATTTTAATTTTTTTTTTTACTATTTAAAACAAGCATCTGAAACTGTTAAAAGCTCAGCTTTATTCACATATAATTTATTTAAATGAATGCGCAATTTTTTATATACTATCGTCATTTTTTCATTTCAAACCAAAGTCAGAATGATTAAAGAACCGACATGTTAAGCTGCCTTTAGCATCTTATATAAGAGATTAGCATGGCTAGCTTTACCAGAGAATAGACACTTACTCTCCTTCCATAAGGCAGCAGACATTTCTAAATCCAGCGTCTTTCATCAGAGTTTGAGAGCAGTTCCTATATTCTGTTCAGCCTTCCTGTTACCTGCTGAGATGCTTTCTCTCTCCCCTTGCAGCCGAGGTTATTTGTAAAGCACATGTCAGCACCAATGCAGTTCAAAGTGCTTTACATCAGTTTGTCAGATAAGGCTTCTTCATGTTGTTGTGTAAGCTAAAGCCTAGTTCACATGGTACAATTTCACAGTTTTTGTATAAACACGGATGTTTATTCAGTTAAAAAATGTTAACTACAAAAAAACATAACTCACCTCCAAATCACAGTGCAGCAAATAGAGCGGCTGCTCTTTTTATCCACTGCCTTTTCTTTTTCTTTCGTCTTTTATCACTTAAAATGTCACTACTGCTTCCACATCATCATCGTGTTTAATTATTCTAAATTCACGTTTGGTATGTTGGGGGTTTTACTGGATTTTCTTCTGGAACTGGGATATTTCTGAGTGGAATCGGTTCACGTGTGGTGTGTTGCACCGGCCGTGTGGCTGGGCACAGGAACCGATAGAACCTCTTGTACACTCTTAAAACACATGTGTTCAATTTGAACACATGTGGCGAATCAGCTCAGGGACAACACATGTGTCATTATTGACACAACTAATGTGTATGACGTTCTGACACAGCTGTTGTATTAAAACATTAAAAACTGGCATTTTCATGTGAGAATGTAAAAATGCATTCTTTTATTAAAATTAAATGTTTCACAACAATAAGTTTGCGACAGCTACAATATGTAGTTCATATGAAAAATTAAAATCATCAATTAGTTCACCAGTCAACATGTTTTTTTCTTCAAAGTCAAGCTAACAACATATACACATTTTCTGAAGTTATTCAACACCACAGATTTTAAAATTCATACTGCCTGAATAATTTTTGTAACATTCTGTAAACAGGTACAAAAAAAAGCTGATGAAAAATAACTTTCATCTGTTTTGCAGTCTAATGGCAACATGCATTTACAGTCCAGTAGTTGTCAACCATCCCAAGCTGCAATAATTTGAAAAATATATGTATTATTGCTGACCTTAGTAGTCTTTCACGGTTTTATAAGGGGAAAAAATGGACCCAATTTTTAATTTTCTACAATTTTCAGATAGTGACTCGACTATTGCAGCGTTAATGCATGAACACATCGGTGTCAACAGTTCACTGTCATCTCCATTACCGACTGCATGCTAGTGAAGTCATGTGGCCATAATCATCACAGTTCCGCCAATCTACCATGAAGGGACGTTTCTGACATGCTGTCTGTCTGTCTGTCCATCTGTTTGCTGTTGTTTTTGCTGCACATATTCTTTTACTTTTAGTTATTTGGTCAACTTGGCAACCAAGAGAGAGTTTTAATATTCTTTTGAAAGAAAAATAAACAGAGACCTTTTTTCGAGCAATCCTTCCAAGTAACCCAGATCAGTTCAGTTATTCCGACTGCACTGTGTTGAACTTTAGCATGTAGCATGCTGACTGAGGCCTGTGCAGTCTGATCAGCAGTAGGGATGTTTTATTTTTTTCTGAGCACTCCAGCAGCTGAACTCAGTTTGAACTTTCTGGTTGGCTGTCCTCATGCTGTCCACTAGAGTGTACTCTGTAACTTGGAGCAGCTAGCTGATTTGCTAACCATAGAATTCTTGTATAAACTAAAAATCAGCGTATCTTGTCCTCTGCAACGATGATGCAGTTCAGGCTGGCACAACTCAAAAAATAAAAGGCATCAGATGAAAAACAAAGAAATATTCAAGGAGCATCTCGAGAAATGAGCCAGAAAGCAAAATAGAGACGACAGCAATGGGCCAAGAAGTAAATCTGAGGTTATTTTCACGCCTGACAGTCTGGTAGACTCAGTTCAATTGGGGATGAAAGTTGAGATATTTGTTGCATTTTCAGCCGGTGTGCTTCTCTTTCACCCTTGTCAAACAAACCAAACTCATTGAAAAACTTGTTCCCTCCCTCACCTGTGTGGGCGCTTCACCAAGACCCACTGAAGGAATCAACTTAAAAACCTCCAAAGAAGACACTGAGCACACTATTTGCAAACCAACACTTATAATCGACAGCCGTTTGTGAGGTGAACAAAAGGCATTAGCTGGACCTCTGCTACTCTTGACTGACGGTATGTCATGTGTTCTTTGTAGTTTGTAGGCATTTTTATTCTTAAAAATGAGAACTTTTCTTCCTGGATTGTTGTCTCTGCTTTCCAGCTTTTGATAATGTAAACTACATTCTTCTCAGACCAAATCATTGACATGTCTTCTATTAAAAATGATACCAGCAGTTACAGAGTTACAAATAGCCACCTTCGACCCAAGAATCCTGTGTAGATGGTTTCATTGTGTCGTAAGATTGTTGGTGGCGTTCATCCTTTTCAAGCAGTGTCTCACTGTGTGGAAATGAGTATTAAAGTCTCTCGGCCACAATAGATCTGTAGAGGTTACAATCCAAGGAGTAGATCGCCTTAGATCATTTAAGGCGGAGCTTAGGGGATCAAAGGAGAACAGAAAAATATTTATGAGACAAGATTGAGAGCAAAAGAATATTTCAGGAATCCTTGGAGCCTGAACCTCCTGACCTTGCATGACAACGGCCCCCCGTGGGAAAACAATGCCATTCTTGTGTATGTTCAACCTTGTATCACAGTCTCTGGGGGCCCCTGTGTACAGGTGCTTCACAGAGGCCCCTGTGATAACGCTCAGCCCCTTCCCTCCTCCTCTCCTTCTCCCTCCATCCCTATCCTGAATCTCACTCTTCACCATCCACCCGTTCCTCCCTCGTTTGCACTCTTTGTCACCCCGTCCTGTCTCACTCTTCGTCCTCCTCCTCCTCTCCTATAGCTCTTAGCATCTCTGTTCCAGGGTACATCCCCAGCTACCTGGAGAAGGACGAGCCGTGCGTGGTGTGTGGGGACAAGGCCACCGGCTACCACTACCGCTGCATAACCTGCGAAGGCTGCAAGGTACTGGGCCACACCACTACGTCACGTCTTCAACTGCTGTCATGTTACAGACACAAATGTTAAATATTGATTCTTTGTTTACAGGAAAATACCAAAGTAGTGTGTTTTTTATTAAACGGGGGTTGAAAAAAAGGTTATATAATGACTGTAAAAGACTCATTTCCACTTTGTCACATTCCAGCCAGACATCTGTCGTGTTAGCTCGTGGATTTCTTGACTTTAATCATAATGGTTTTTGCAAACTCCTTCCTCCTTTCCACTCCTTGTGTCCTGCCTATAAGGTCAGGTTACATTACGCTAACATAACTCAGGCCAAACAGTCTGTATTTTCTTGCGAGAGCACATGTAAGATGTCCACTTATATCATTGCTTGATAACTTGATCACTTCACTGTTCTTGGAACCTACAAACACCATGTGATGAGATCAAGGAGCAAAAAGAACGCTTAAGTGATAAATGTTCTGGCCGAGGGGTCAGGTTAGATTAGTGAAGCTGAATCTTAAACCCTCTGAACCAGGTTCTTTGACCAAACTGGAGATATTTGACGACGGTGATGGAGCGGTGACGATTCAGTCCCGCTTTAAAGTCGGTGTCATGAAAGACAGTAGGTGAAATTGCATCATTGTGACACAATGGATTGTTTCATATGGGAATTGCTTTCAAGCGATTTCAGCAAGAGGCAATATGTCAGATGTCCATCAGACATATTTTCTAACCAATGTGCAGATAATGATCCATCCAACTCAGACCAGGTGATGCAAAACATTATGGGGACACCTAAGGCCTCCAGAATTTTTATTTTCACAAAATAACTTTTCACAAAACCCGATAGTTTAAAAACTTCTCAGAATATTGTAGTTCAGGTTAAAATACCCAATACATTGACTCTGTTTAATGTTTGTCTAATTCATAGATAACCTCAATGCTCCCCCACAAAAAAAGAAACATTAAAATGCCTCCATCTTGTGTGTTTTGACATAAACAACATCATAGAGGTATGATGAATCTGTGTTTTAAAGGCTCCGTTAAATTATCCAGCTCAGGTTCCAACTGGAGAAAGTAGAATAAACAGCAGACTTTGAAATTGTCCTTTAAATGTTGTGCAACTGGTGGAATTTATTGATTTGCTGCTTAGCATAAAGAAAGCCGATAGAGAAGCGAAAACAAACAGCACAAATAGCCCAGGGTCAGGAGTTGAACCAGGACAGCCAAACGGCACAAAGCCACAACTCAGATCCTAACTTTACCTCAGTTAGATCCAATTTTAGATCCCGTCTGTCACTCTGTCCACATTTTACTTTTCTACCCTCTGCTGTAAATGCTGCCAGAAGAACAGGCTTGCTCAATGCTATGGTCATGCTATGGTCAGTCGACTGGTAAAAAGGATGTTTCTGTTAGCCCCATGCCAGGCTGGTAAAAACCATTTATTTATTCTACGCTTTGTTTCATACAGAAGACCTGGATGCCCAGCTATTGTTTTTTTTTTTTTTTTTTTAAGAATTTGTATTGAGACTAGTTGCCTATATTTGACAGTAGTCAGACAAGAAGGGGACAAAGAAATCCAGGAAAAGGAACTATAGCCTCTGTCTGTTCTAGCCACTGCGCCAACGACTCTCGAGTTTTAAACGTTTGGCTGGGCGTCAGCCGAATGAAGCTTGGTGGAAATTGCGTCTGCTGTGAACACCCTTGTAGTGAGTAGGGTCACGACAAACATCTTAAACATTCCTCTTGCTCCGACTTTCATTTCTCAGTATTTTTAAGCGTGCCCATCACAGACTGAACTTTGTTCATTTCCTCTAGACTAAAATGCTAAAATAACGTAGAAAATGAGCGTCATTGTTCGTAAAGCCAACTTCTGTTTGCTGAATGACTCAATTGAAATTCAACCGGAGAAATCGAGCTCAATGGGAGAAATTCCAGATGGAGCAAAGATGAGAAGAAAACGAAATGGGGCTGGGTAGTTCTCTGCAGGGAATTTAAAAACTACTTCCTTTAATGCTTCAAAATAAGAGTCTCAAACATCGAGACTATCCTGACTTTACTTTATGCACTCATTTTTAAAAGGAAGTTTAAAAATGTTAGCATATGATCCTCGGTCGATCATATGCTAACAGCAATGCACTTTGGGAGATATGTCATTAAATACTGCGGCGTCTCTGACTAGCCCTTTAATAAAAACATTTTGTAGAGTGATGGGGTGTTTACTGTCTCTCATTCTGTCCCTTCTTATAGGGTTTCTTCCGCAGGACAATCCAGAAAAATCTCCATCCTTCTTACACCTGTAAATATGAAGGCTGCTGCATCATTGACAAGATCACCCGCAATCAGTGCCAGCTGTGCAGATTCAAGAAGTGCATCTCTGTGGGCATGGCCATGGACTGTGAGTCATCCCAAACCTCTCACTTACCCCATCGTATTACTGAAGGTGTACAATGGGGTAGTAGTTAGCTGCTAGCTACAATCTTGAATTGCCACACCAAGCTGCTAGCTAACTACCACACTGTGCAGCTAGCTCAATGAGCAGCTAGCTACCATACTGAGCTGCTATCGAACTACCACACTGTGCAGCTAGCTCAATGAGCAGCTAGCTACCATACTGAGCTGCTAGCGAACTACCACACTGTGCAGCTAGCTCAATGAGCAGCTAGCTACCATACTGAGCTGCTAGCGAACTACCACACTGTGCAGCTGGTTATGTCTGCAGCATGAATTATGTCTTAACATTTTTTGGTGAGGTTGCCATATTATATTTTACTGTGCAGCTGGTTAGCTACCACACTGAGGTGCTAGCGAACTACCACACTGTGCAGCTGGCTAGCCACCACACCGAGGTGCTAGCTAACAGTTAGCCAGTTGCTACCACACTGAGGTGCTAGCGAACTACCACACTGTGCAGCTAGCTCAATGAGCAGCTAGCTACCACACCAAGCTGCTAGCTAACTACCACACTGTGCAGCTAGCTCAATGAGCAGCTAGCTACCATACTGAGCTGCTAGCGAACTACCACACTGTGCAGCTAGCTCAATGAGCAGCTAGCTACCATACTGAGCTGCTAGCGAACTACCACACTGTGCAGCTGGTTAGCTACCACACTGAGGTGCTAGCGAACTACCACACTGTGCAGCTAGCTCAATGAGCAGCTAGCTACCACACCAAGCTGCTAGCTAACTACCACACTGTGCAGCTAGCTCAATGAGCAGCTAGCTACCATACTGAGCTGCTAGCTAACTACCACACTGTGCAGCTAGCTCAATGAGCAGCTAGCTACCACACCGAGGTGCTAGCGAACTACCATACTGTGCAGCTAGTTAGCTACCACACTGAGGTGCTAGCGAACTACCACACTGTGCAGCTGGCTAGCCACCACACCGAGGTGCTAGCTAACAGTTAGCCAGTTGCTCAGTTAGCCAGTTGCTCAGTGTGGTAGTTAGCAGCTAACTACCACACTGAGCTACTAGCTAGGTACTACACTGAGCAGCAAGCTGGCCACCATACTGAGCTAGTATCTAGCTACCACAAGGGGCAACTAGATAGCTCCCTACCTCACAGTTATCTACCTATCTCACTGAGTAGCTCGGTTGCGGTCCTTTCGGTCCTGTTGATAACATAATTTCAGGATACTTTGTGAAAAGCCCAAGTCAGAACTTATTGAATTTTTACCATGTAGTTACACACAAGGCTGCATCTCTATATGAAACCACCAACCAATGAACTCCACCCGTTCTGTCTCCCAGTGGTGCTGGATGAGAGCAAGCGCGTGGCCAAGCGGCGCCTCATCGAAGAGAACCGAGAGCGGAGGAAGCGGGAAGAGATGGTGCGGACGCTGCAGATGAGGCCGGAGCCAGACAGCGCAGAGTGGGAGCTGATCAGGATGGTGACTGAGGCTCACCGGCACACCAACGCCCAGGGCTCCAGCTGGAAACAGAAGCGCAAATTTCTGGTGATTTGTAACTTTGAAGAGAAGCAATTTATCACTGGAGTTTCAGGGTCGCCACATGCGGTGATAACTTGCTGTACAACTCTGTTTGTAAAGTTTTCGCTTTCCAACGGCGATTTTAGCGGATCATGCAAAAACAAAATCGAAATTTTTAAGATTCACTTAATTATTGGACATTTTTTACCAAATCAAAGGAGGAAAAAAAACTTCTGCTCAATCAAGTGTTGTTAAACCAAAAATATTAATTCTTAATAATTTCTTTCTTTAATTTTTACATAAAGTCTATACATGCACAATTACTTAGTGCAGCTGTTTACAGAAACTAAATTTTTTTGTTAAATTCTTATCACAATGTTAGAATTTTTTTAAATCAAATTTAAGCAGCTAAACGTTTTAGTAAACCATCATTACACAGTGCAGCCTAACATGCTTTATCAAAATGTTAAAACTTTTCAAAGGTCCTTCTTATTGTACCAAAATAGTAAAGTGAAAGACAAAGCTTCGAGAAAACGTTCTACTGATGAAAACCCAGCTATAAAAGTTTGAATATATTGTGGTGATCAATGGATACCTTCATACACTGAGTTTAGAAAATGATGGTTACCACGCAACCATTTTAACACAAAAGCAAGCAGTTTTACACATGAATACGTTTTTATGCAGCGGTTTAAAAAGGGAAGGACATTCAGGTCTGAAGAACACGCTGTGTGGGAGAAGCACAATGACTGCTGCTGCTTCACAGCCTCATAGCTGCTTCACTTCAGAACGACCCTGATCTGTGCAAACAAAGCTTTGGGAAAAGAAAAAAAAAAGTCCTCATTGAATATGTTTGAATTTTCAAAAGAGTGCGTGCATGAGTTTTCATACGTTTTCACCAAAAAAGATTTTAAAAAAAATTTTCATTCATTTTTTGAAGCAATTCAGCAGCTTAGTCCAAGGTTTTCTCCTCTTCGACTGCTGACGGCGTTACTGTGCCATTTGCAGGCGGACGACATCGGCCACGGTCAACTGATGCTCACCTCGGACGGAGATAAGGTCGACCTGGAGGTCTTCAGTGAGTTCACCAAGATCATGACCCCTGCCATCACCCGCGTTGTTGACTTTGCCAAGAAACTGCCCATGTTTTCAGAGGTTGGTGGGAAAGGATGCTGAATCTGGTTATACATGAAACAGTTTGTGGTGCCGTCTTTTTCCATCCCGAGCTCAAACGTGCCACTTCAGTTCTGGAAACACTGGTTGTTAAATCAGAACTAAACAAGCCAAAGTAGGCATTTATAATACATTTGCATTTATTGCCATTGTACATGCAATAGCAGCCTTACAAAAGTTTTACCTGCAAAGTAAAATAAAATAAAATTAAGTTTTTCAAATATTGTTGCAGATAAAAATCTGAAAATGTAGCATGCAGTTGCTACTAGCCCCCTTTACATTGAAATCCACAAATCTGACTCTATTAGAAGCATTTCACATCATCATGAAGTTCTACTCAGAATGTTGCAGCCACTTTCTTAAATCTGCTGCATTATGACTTGATGTGAAATACGCAATACAATACAATGACATGTACAACACAGTAGGCCTGTCCAGCGCTATCACTGTTGGGGCCTAGCTAACAGACTGGGGGCGGGTCCAGACACCCCATTAACACTTAAATTCACAAATTTATTACCATACTTATTTTAATTCAAACAAAAATTGTTGAAAATTCAGTAACCCTGAATTCCTGTGCACCTGCCAGCTGCCTTGTGAAGACCAGATCATCCTGCTGAAGGGTTGCTGCATGGAGATCATGTCGCTGCGCGCCGCCGTGCGCTACGACCCCGAAAGCGAAACGTTGACGCTCAGCGGCGAGATGGCCGTAAAACGTGAGCACTTGAAAAACGGCGGGCTCGGGGTCATTTCGGACGCCATATTTGATCTGGGCAAAAGCCTGGCACAGTTCAACTTGGACGACTCCGAGGTGGCACTGCTGCAAGCTGTGCTGCTCATGAGCTCAGGTGAGGCAGCGTCACCTTTTATAGGAAGGACTGCTTGAACCGGCTGCAATAAACATGTCATATTACTAGCTCTTCTTTCTGCACTGGCTTCAGATCGGTCGGGGCTGATGAGCATGGAGAAGATCGAGCGGAGCCAGGAGGCCTTCCTGCTGGCGTTCGAGCACTACATCAACTACCGTAAGCACAACATTCCCCACTTCTGGCCAAAGCTCTTGATGAAGGTCACGGACCTGCGGATGATCGGCGCCTGCCACGCCAGTCGCTTCCTCCACATGAAGGTTGAGTGTCCAAACGAACTCTTCCCGCCACTCTTCCTGGAAGTCTTCGAGGACCAGGAAGTGTGACATCTCGCCCCACCGCTTCGGGGTCGCCAGTAAAGGAAGCGTCGGCCATGGATGAACGTCATAGGAAAGACTGGATTTTGTTTTCATTTGTGAGAACGTGCCCTGTTCATTTTTCAGTTGTGTATTTGCCCATTTCTGTCAAACACAAGACTTGACCTTCTGCCACCAGCAAACTCTCATCAGCATCATGAAACAGAAACCCAGGTGTTCTACAGCTGGTAGTGTTTCAACACTATGCCATAAACGTGCATCTATATGCAAATCCAAATTGCATCTATGAGGAGGCCTGGACTGGTGTCACACCTAATGCAAACTGTGGGGCTTTGCTAGCGGCACACCTTAGTGAAATCTCAAGCACCTGTCTTCGAGGGTTTTTTCTTGTCCTGGGCCTGACAACCGGCACTTCTGACAATCCCCAACAACCATCCCGCTGACCTCCCACCTCCCCGACATCTCCAAGAGCATAAGCTTCCACTTTCAATCCACTGTGGCCCTGAGAGTGTTCGTCAACCTACCTCCGTCACACAAACCTTCACACTAAGAAACACACTCACAGAATGTACATGCACAAAAAAAACAAAAAAACAGTGTTACCTCATTTCTTGTCAAATGTATTTCTTTATTTATATTTGGTGGGGACGGAGGGGCCAGACGTAGTTGAGTTAGAGGATATGGAGCCATGCACCCCACAGTTACCCATATGCTACTGACAACTGCTGAGAGAACAGCTTTGTTTCAAACACTAATCTATAAAACATTATTTGTACTACAAGTCTTATAGCCGAGGGCACTACAGCAGTAGTGTCGTCACATCCAGTGTGTCACCAGATGTGTTGAACATCGCAGTGCATTCTGGCAGCACTAAACTGTGAGTATGTATAGAGTCAGTCTGGGCAGATAAAACGGTTACAAAGTGCAGAAACTCAACATCGCAGTTCACGACTCCTTCCTCTGTTCGCTGATTGGCCCTGTTGTTATTCACCCTGAGAAATCAAAGCCAATGGGAGAAATCCCTGAGTGGAGATGAGAATTGAGTGGAAATGCATAGGAAGGCAACGGCCAGCTTCTTCAGTCTTTTGGGCTTCACTTGCAAAGGTTCTCAGATCATATTTACATATTTTTAGGGCTACGAACAAATTTGTTTATATATGCATATCCCAATTGGTGCGATTTATGATTTCCAAGCAAATAATCTGAATAAATGTGTAGCCTATTCGTCTGAAACTTTAGAGATCTATCTCCTTTATTCTCATTGATGAAATATTTAAACAATTACAATAACACATGGAGTGCTTTGTGTTGTTTTCTACACATTTCTATGTGGTAATCACAGCTTATGTGTGACTTTTGTTAGTGATTTTGGTAACTTTCTCACTTTGGCTGTTTTTAGTTGATTTTCAAGATTTTATCTAATTTTATTGACACAATTTTGCTTATCACCACAGTCTGTGTCCCAGTAAAGAAAATATGTAAAATTATGCAAAATAACAATCTTTATTGTTTTGCATAATAAATAGTATGTTATTATGCAAAAAAAATGCATTTTTTTTTTGCAAAACAAATTATGCATTTTTTCTTAATAAATGAAGGAAAAAATAACTGCTTAAAAAATTATCTGAAATTGTGCACCATTCAATTCAAAAAGACGTTTTTGATCCCGAAGAGAAATTAAATGTTATTGTAACTCATATTCATTCAAATTCTTCAGAGATATTGTAAACTGTGATGGTTGCTGGCAGGAAGGATCCCCTGTAGCAGTCTGTATTACATCAAATTTGAAGAAGCCTCTGACTAAAGACACTCTCATGGTCTTAGTGAAAGCACTACCAGCCCCAAATTTAATCTTGCAAATGACCTCAGCGTGTAGCAGTCAGCTGATTTCATTTTCTTTCTTTGACAGACAGAAATTAGAGACGAGGAAACTCTGGAAAACTTCTTGATCAAATCAAAGAGGATTGGGTCGCTGTTGCCCATCAACTCATTGTCCTTCCAAACTTCAGCCTTTTCTTTACACTTTGATCTCGTAGGTTGATGACGAAGTCAGTGTGTTCACAGAAAGCACTATTTTTATTCAAAACATCTCAAAGCTCTTCAGCCACTTCCAGCCCACGCAGGGTGTCTGCATGTAGAATACCTCACCCAACTCAGACCTCCTGATTCTTCACCTCACAGACACACGTTCACTTTCCAGATGCTTTTACTCTTTCTCATTGGCTTCTGTTTTTATTTTTGTATTCCTTTCTGATACGTTGTGGGAAGCAGCCTCTCAGTCTCAGTGTGTCCTCATCTTGAATCCCCTGGTCCGTTTCCATCCTGGTGGATGGTTGGTAGGGACCTGTCCCACCCCGTCTGCCCCCCACCCGACCCCTCTGCCCCCCACCCGACCCCTCTGCTTGTAACTGCCTGAAACCAACAGACTCTACCTCACCTCTCGTCTCCATGGAGCCGCCTCTAGGAACCCAACACGATCACATCCGCCAACCTAACACACATTTGGAGTTGTACGCCGTACGTCCCCACTGTGAACGGAGAAATCATTTGCACCCGGTTTGTTTTTCTAACTGCCCCCGTGGGACCAAGAGTCGCTCTGAGTTCAGGTTTTTCTTTCAGAACCTGAACTCGATGGCGGCCTGGTGGTGAAGGACTGACGGTAAAATGAATGAACTTCAAATAGACCGTGACAGTGCTCTGGCGGGTGGAGCCGTTTCGGCCCCGGTCGGGTCAGGATTCTGACGGGTGACTCAGCAGTTTTTCAAAGCACATGATGGACTAAATTCCTCCATGGAGAAAGGAACATCCGCGCCTCAGAAACCTGCAGGGAAAGAAACTCTGTGAACCACGTCTCTAGCTGCCAATCACTACAAAAAAAAAACAACAACAAAAGACTTATCAGGTTCCTTTTTTGCACTAAAACCACGCTGTCTGTATCCTGAACCAGTCTGGACTCTTTTCCTCTCCGTCTTGTCCTCCTGCTGTTTTCGTCTTTCACTCCATCCGGTGATTCCGGACGATGAGGCTTGGAGCGCGGCTGTTAGATGTAAAAAGCTACATGAGGTTTAGAGCTCATCATCGATCCGCCGAGACGACGTTTGTTGGCACATCTACGTATGCTGCGGTTTGAGGAAAAGAAACCATCATCATCCTTCCACTTCCTGTCTTCTTCTGTGTCGTTTTCGGCAGTAGTACCATCGGTTACTGTTGATCACGTGACTTTTGCGATGTCGAGAAAAGTGTTTCCATTGAAGTTTTGCAGAGTTGCAAAGTTTGATACGGCCGAAAAAAATCACCACATCTCGTCTCAAAAGCTTTTTGTCGAAGAACACAAGTTGTTTCTTTTTTTCTTCTTCCAAAATTTGCGCAGTTTTACGGTTAATGAAGCGCAGCTGCTGATGCTAATCTACGTTGTGGCTCATTTGACATGCACTCACAAACACACACACACACACACACACACACACACACAGAAAGCGGAAGAAGTTAAACTGATCCACACCGTCTTGGTATCACTGAGTGAGCGCCGTCACACACACACACACACACACACACGCAGACAGCTGCCCTGTCGCTCATCCTGATATGTTCATGTGCCTCACATGGGTGCATTATTACACTTCGTAGTGCTTGCAGAAATAGTCATACAGCTAATAACTCTTTCACGATTTTGTTGCATTACAACTAGAAACATCGATGTGTTTCACTGGGTTTCATTTGACCAGCACCAAGTTTCACATGATGGAGGTGAAAGTTTGACATTTTTTTGAAAAATCGGAAATAAGTCGCACCTATTTGAACATTTGGGGAAACGCCGATATCCAGTATTTATGTTGCTGTTGCAGCTGATATTTGACATCATTAAACCGTGTTCCAAATGATTATGCACGTGATATTTTCCCAGGTTTTCTCAAACGTTCATTGCAAATGATGGTCAGTATAATTTTCAAGTCATGAACTATTACAGTATAAATCAAAATTTACTGAACAAAGCTTCCCATGAGAAATTACTAGAGAAATTATATAGAAAAAGTATTAACTATGCACAATTACCTGCCAGTCCGTGGCTAAACAAACACATCCCCACAGCATGACGCTGCCACCACCGTTATTTTCAGAACCATTTTATTTGTGTTGGTCTGGACAATAAACTCCCAGTAAAGTACTTTAGAAATGTTTGGTTGCAATATGATATGGGACAAAGTAAAAAAATAAAAAGTATGAATGTTTTTGCTGTGGACTATATGTAGTATACATATAAATATCTGTAAATATTTAAAGCGACATATATACATATTTATATATTTCTATGCACTCAGGCCCATTCAGATGATTTCACCAGGTGACAAAAGTCCGGATGAAAATCAGCAGCGTTTCTCTCCGGCTGACATGACCACGCTCGTTTGACTCGTGGAGATTACCAAGTAACCTTCTCAGTCCGCCGACCTTTGACCCCGCCTGCAGATCGAGCCGTCTCTCTCCACTCCTTTCTTTTTTCTTTTTTTTTTTCTTCTCTTCTTTTTGCTTTTTGCTGAGTTCGAGGGTCAGCGCTCCCCGGCGGTGATGCAGATGTGAGCTGACAGCGCCAAACGGTCGGCGGAGGGAAACCACAGCAGCACTCTGGAGTCCAGAGCCCAGCTCTGTCTTTAATTTGACATAAAAATGATAACTCACTCCAACCCAGGATGACTTTACAACCTTTAAAATGAAGCCTCAGAGCAAATCAGGTGTTTGTTTGTTGTTGAGGTTTTTTTTTTCACTTTTGCAAAGGGAGAATTGTGATTTCTCTCCCTTGTGTTTACAGTCGTCCAAACTGTGAATCGGATCCTAATCTCTGCCACTGCACCAAACCGTAACGGCTGAGGCGTTCTCCTCCTGACTTACCCAGGAGAAACGGTTCTGTCTCTAGCTGCGTCTGTCCTGCACCGTCCTCCTGTCCTCTGTCTGTGTTCTGCCCACCGCGCTCCTCTGAGCTCTCATTGGTGGAGGAAGATATGACAATCCCTGCAGGAGTGTGTCTCCATGTGGAATGTAAAATACTGCAATATTGTGATTAAAGACACATTGTGAAATCTTCAGGCTCTTGTCGTTTTACTGGTTTCAACCAACCGGTCAATTGAACAACATTGTTTTTTTAACTTGTCAGTAACTTTAACGTGTCCGTATCAAAACACGTCTGCCTCTTTACCTGCAGGGAACGCTAGAACGGTTTCAGTGCTGTGTTCATTTTTGACTTTTGGACATTTTCTGAGTTTGAAAATTTCAAAAATCATTTCAGCTTTTGAGACTTTTCTTATGTTTTTTCTAGAAACATGAGAAACTTGTCTTTTCTGACAAATTTTTGACTTTTCAGACTTGCACGTAGATTCATTAAAAAAAAAGTATTTTCAATCAAATTTTCTACTTTCCAAATTATGAAATTTCCCTGTTTGTTTCTTAGATGATTTCTGAGTTGCTTGGTAGAAATTGACTCTTTTTTTCTACAATAGCTCTAATGTGCCGTCGTTCAGCTCTCTGTCCTGCTGAATGCCGTACATCCTCCATTTCCCTTAGAGTGATTTTAACACAAAGTAGTGTCTTATAAAATGACAAACTGAAATCTTTTGCGTACTTCTCTGTTCTTCTTCCAGGCAGCGGCGGTGATGAAAGCGGGCCTGTGTTGTCTCGGCCTGCAGCGCCTCTCCACTAACTTTATTTGGGAGCACACAGGCTCTGATTAGTGAATCAGAAGAGCATCATGTGAGACTCAGCTCCAGCAGCTGGACTCATCGCGTCCTCTTAGCAAGCAGCCACAGTTTTTCTCTCCTAGCTGTTGATCTAAAAGCTGAGCCGATTTGGCCTGGAGCCTCTCAGATAACGGCTCAGAGGAAACAGGATCCGTTGTTCTCTCGCTTTCTGTGACAAATTGCTGTCAGCACAATCGGAGAAAAGCATTCTGATAGTTTAAAACCTTTTTTTTTGTTGATGTTTATTGAGACATTTCTTACGTCAAAGTATTTGGCATTTGTCTGTCCACTTTGTGCATCTGAAGGGGAATTTTGTGCGCGGGAAGGCAGCAGTTATTTAGCACTTTAGACCTCAACCAGATGTGACTGATCAGTCTGATTACGGATTTTAAGTGACAGACTGGCACAAAGCTACGGCGGAACATCAGAGAAAAGGAAAAAAAAAAAGGGTTAGGGTTAGAAGTAAATTCCATCCAAAAAAAACATTTTCTAGAAGGAGAAAGGAGAAATTTTTGAGTTTGAAAAGTCGACTTTCGTACATTTTCAGAGATTGACAACGGGAGAAATTCAAACTTTCCAAACTCAGAAATCTCCAAGTTTGTTTTTATAGAAAACTTGTTGAGATTGACCTCAAAATGTTCTCAATTATTTTCTAGCGACTTTTCAAACTCAGAAATGTCCTTGTGTTTCTTTAAAACCTCAGAGTTGTCTGGCAGGAACGTGCTCTTTCAACGCCATCATGGATAACGAGATCCTATTTTTCAGATTTTCCACTTTCCAATTACGGCAAACGTTGCATTAGTCTTTCACATAGCCAAATAAAATACCATCAATAGTGGCTGCAACATGAGCAGAGCTTCAAAAGTCCGTAGACACATGTGAGGCAGCGAGGGTGGAGATCCAATACCAGAAAACATCATGGCCGACGTTCTATACGAGAACAAAGAGTTAGAGGTCAGGATTAACCGCTAAGCCAAGTGATCAGTTTGAACATGGTAACATGGAGCTGTGGGATTAACACTGTGCTCAGGCAGATATTAAATGACCTCCAGTGTTAGGAGTCATTTTAATATGTTTTAAACCGAATACTTGTGAGGCTTCAGAGAACTGAACCTCCACCACACCCTTCTCATCACACAGGAAACTTGTTTGTTGTGTTTTTCTTCAACCAATCAATCAATCAAAAATGTGTTTGCTAATGACAGGTTATTTAGTCTGTCATTGGAAAAAGTGAAATAAGAGAAAAAAATGGAGGTTCAAATTTCAAAGTCAGTCATCTTTGGATGTCGTTAAATAAATAAATAAATATTGAACAAGCAACCGAAATACTGTATGTGGCTCCAAACGAAATATTTAGCTTGCTAACTATTAGCTAAACTAATAGCTAAGTATTCAGTTTGGTGCTAAATATTTAACTTACAACTATAATTAGTTTGTAAGCCAAACATTTAGCCTCAAATCAAACATTTGAGGCTAGATATTTAGCCTCAAATGCCAACTACCTAGCCAGCATGCTAACTGCAGCTAGCAAGCCGGCTTTAGCTTGTGAACTGACTTTTTGCTAGCAGCGTGAACATTTATATTCCCTCTTCCACAATGAGAAGGACTGGCTGTATGAACATTATCAACCCACAGAGATCAACACTGCTATCACACAATCAATACGTAATCAGTGTTGTCAACGCTTATATGATCAATACGTATGTTGATCATACGTTTCAGTTCTGATCCCGGATAATGGAACGGATGAGATGAGATGTGATTGGTCTAAAAGAATCTCTACGGTTTGGTGTTAATCTGCATTCTGATGTGATCTGAAGGGGAAACAGGTTAACATGTTTATCAGTCATAAACCCAAATCCGCACAAGTTCAGTTTACATCCCCCCTTCTTTATTCTGACACCCCCAAATTAAATCCAGAACCAAACTGGCTTTGAAGTTCACCTCCCAAACTCTGTACATTTCACATAAATCTGTTCAGTCACATTGTCTAAAAATGGAAATACGACGGCTCCCCACATTGTACTGCTACCAACATCTATTTAGCGAGGTTTCGTAACAGAGTGTTACTAAACTAAAATATTTTAAAGTATGGGGACAAAAAAGCCCACAAAACAGCATATGTTGTCTTGATTAACCACCAAATAATAACTTGTTTACCATAACGACATTGCAGACGGTAAACTATAGCAATAATCAATGGCAGACATGAATAATCCTGCATCCAGCTGTCAGTCTGTCATCTAAGTCTTTATAAAACCAACAGTAACACATTACAGAAAGTTTCAACAAGTGAAAGTTTCAACATGTTTGAAATATTAACCAGCATTTTTTTTTTTTTTTTTTTTTGCCGAGGGGGTAATTTAAAATTTATAATCGACAGCGTTCATGAACCTGGTTACGTTTCAATGAGGCAGACGGCTAAATTATTCCCAAACCTTCGCCGTCATGGAGACGTCAAATTTGCTCTTAGCTTGTTGTGGTGGAGATGATGTAACAGTGAGCAGCTTTGCTCTCCACCAATCCAAAAATGCCTCTCTGCCGAGACCAGCACAGATAGCCTGTGTGTGTGTAAAGGCTGTTCTGTGTGCATGCGTGTGCGTGTGTGTGTGTGTGTGCGTGCATGTGTGTGTGTGTGTGTGTGTGGGGGGGGGGGGGTCTGTGTGAGAGAGGCTCACACCCCTGCACAGAGATGCAGTCTGACAGGCCCGGACATCCATTACAGATTTTTCCTGTAAGGGAAACATGCTTCCAGGAAATCTCTGAAATGGGTTAGATAGAGCGGGTTTTAGTAGACATTGCTTCTGCGTTTCTTTATGTTGCAGATTAGCATGAATGATCGACTCTTTCACACATTAATGCTGCAGTACTAAAAATAGTTCAAGCAAATATGTCAAAACATATCACCGTCTCATGATGAGGCCTGTCCAGGTGACACATTGTTGTTTTGAGACCATTTTCAAATATGATCATTAATAACGCAAGAACAAATTTTTCCAAGACCAATAAACTTTAAACTTTAATGACACATTTAGCACCGGACATCTTAAAATAAAAATAATAATAATTTTAAAAAAAAAGAAAAACAACAGAAACAACAAATGAAATGAATTGTGAAACAGAATTGTCCTCCAGGAAAAAAGAGAGGCTAGTAGAAACCAAAACACCAGACTGAAGACTTCTGTCATCCAGTTTTTGGTAAAAGGACAGAAAAGAGAAAATGGAAATTATTGAGTTTGTTTTCATTTGTCATGCAGTTTGTGTTTATTGATTACATTGTGAAAAGGGTGATCTCCTTCCTGAGCTGCTATTGCTGTCTAAAGAAACTCACTGACCAGAAATAACCAATCAGAGCCAGGAGGAGGGGCTTGGCGCTGTCAATCATCCTCATGCAAGCTACTTAATGTGCTAACGGTGGGAACAAAACTCAATGTTAAAACTGTTTATTATGTCCTTGCAATGCTAATTAGTATTAGCATCCACAAACTCTGCTTAGACCCTCCTCCTCCTGGCTCTGATTGGTTGTTTCTAATTAGCTCTACCAGCAGAGGAGTTCAGTTTGACCTTACTGTTGTCATATAGTCTCAGTTTCAACAAATATGTAAACAAATATTATTTATGACAGTGACATACCGCAGGCTTAAAGTCATTTCATCGCCTGGTCGTTTCCTGATGGCTGGCCCACTGTCTGTGTGCAGCCCACTTTATGGGCTAATGTATTTCTACCAGTTTGAGAAGAATTTCCCATAAATAGATCGGACACTAAACCCCGTGGCTGATCCATTCATGAAGACTGGTGTTACGTAAGAGCATTACCCTGCTACCCTGGCAGACATGTCCTTGCTTCAACTTGGTCAGAGGAATAACAGTTGGGTGGGCAGAGATAATACAGGACGGAGGGCGGAGGCGACCCGCGTCAGGGGGTCTTACAGATGCATCCATGTGTTTAATAAGAGATATCATGATGGACCCTGTTCAAACTTTGAGTTTTGGTTTCATTGCACGTGCTCAGAGAAATTCTGTTATGTAAGAAATACGCCCGAAATATGAGAGCATGTGATTAGAGCGACGGAGAACGTTTTATTGAATTACATACATCAGCAGGATCAATGCAGGAGAGATTGGATCTTCCAATGAATGAGAGACCATGAGAAAAGATCCGTTTAAAGTACAAGTCTACCCTCTAGTGGCGGTCCCAAAATGGTAACGCCTTTGTCGTCAAGGTTTTATTAATGCTTCAGTCACAAAAAAAAACTTTAAGATAAACTTATTTTGTGTACCATAAATTACTTTAAAGAAGCAGTATTATGTATTTTCCAGGCATATGGAGCCATTTTGTAGAACCGTCAAGTAACTTCAGCTCTAAAAATGGTGTGTATCAAAAGTAAGTTAAAGGAAATTTGTAATTTAATGCCTTTAAATTGGGCCTCTGTCTCTTTAAGAAGCTTCTGCTCTTTCTGACACTCCCTTCAGCACGTCGGTACTTCTCATTATGCTGTTCACAGCCGTTGTTTGGAGCGTTGGACTGAGAAGTAGCTCTTATTTTTCTCTTTTCTATGTGTTTCTTTTGAGAGCCAAACTGTTTTTGAAACAGTTTCTCAAACAGAATTTGTCCATACTGGTTTGTTAGCTTCATGCGCTGATAATGAAGACTCAGCTACCACTTTGGAAGGACTATCATACCAAAATATCATCTACAGACATGTATCGTTAAAAAAAAGAAGAAGAAGAAGAAGAAAAAAAGAAAAGAAATTTATATAGTCTGCCTGAGATGGACCAAATTTTAAATTTTTGGCCTTTGGCCCATAAACTATTTGGCACAACTTACTGATCTAAGCAAAACCAAAGCAATCCTGTATCGCCCTCTTCAGGACAACATGGTTACCAACAGACGGTCATGTCCTGCTGTTTTCAAAGCTGAATAAAGTCGAACAGTCAAATTCTAATGTAGTAAGTTTCAAACAAATCAACAATGGAAGACGAATAAAAGTTTTGCCCCACTTCAAGGACAAAACGTGAGCAAGAAATTGTAAGTAAGTAAACCGCTGTGCAATAAAAATCAACCTTATAAACCATACAAAACTTATTTTTTGTAAATAAAAAAGAGATAAAAGTAGAAGCAATTAAACAAAAAGACGACGGTATTATTTTTACATTTTTTTATTTCATGTATGAAAAGAGAGCAATTACAATCCCAAGAGTCATTAGATAAAGTGCACTTCATCAAAGCTGAGTCAAAATTGTAAGTCTTCTGATTTGACCAATTGGGCTGCACCGTCAGTGAAGTACACCGTGAATCACAAGATATAGGCACAACAGAACACACTGTGACAAATAATGCACACTGAGTAATGCACATTAACACACAGAGACACAGCGTATCCATTAAGGACTGTAAGCAACACTTGGGCTGACAAACATCACAGAGCATGCAACTCAACGATATAAAATTGCATTGAAAATGCCAAAAGTACAAATATGTCCACACTCCACTGTGCAAAAGATGTTGACCAAAAAGTTCAAAACTTGCAGTTGGACTTCCTGACATCCTGGCAGCAGTTAAGTTACATTCGAAGCAGAGTTGCACTGCTGTATGTGAAAGAAACCTTATTTTGTTAACGGTTTTCTTTTTACTTAGTCTTGGCAAATTAGTCAACAGTTAACTATGTTTATATTGTTAGAAATATTAAAGCGACCTCCCTTATGTCTACACACAGAAAACAAAGCTTCCCTTAGGTTAGCCAGCTTAAAACAGATGCTAATGTTTGAGCTAAGCTACAACAGTTTAATTAACAACTAATTTCATACACAGTACTTTCATATTTACAGACACTTTAGAGCTAGAGGAAGAAGTTGCTACAGTTCTCATCTCTTTACGCCAAACATAAAGCTAGCTTTAGGCTAACTGCCCCAAAACAACAGCGCTTATGCTAAGCTAAAAGTCATTTCTTTATTCAAATTATTTAGCTATTAATAACCCTAATTACACAATTAGGATAATTTTGCTGTTTTGGAGAGCGATATTTACAACATTAATCACTTCACTGGTTTCAGGTTTGTCGGAAAACTACAAATCGCTGCATTTATGCTAAGCTAAAAGGCATCGTCTACTACTCGATTCTATGAATACAAATGGCTTAAAATCATTTTTTAAAATTCTTCGTGTGTCTTTTGCGGACCGATATTCTATATTTTTATTTTACTATTCTAATAATCAAATTAATTTGTATTTTATTAAAATCACTTGAGTTCATGAGCAAAGAACTGAAGGACTTTTTTTGTTTTGTAGCCAGACCAAATCAGAATGCTCCAACTCTCCCCATACACGTTTCCTTATGCATGACAATTTTATACTAATTCAATATTGTATTTTTGTCCATGGACACAGCTGAGCCTAAAATGGCTTTTCTCATCGTTACCGGGCCAATTTCAAAGTTCGTCTAACTCCACATCTCAAGACAACTCTGTTCGTTTTACATTCTCTGCATCAATTTAAATTCTGTTTCGTTTTCTGTGATAAACCACAAGAAATAACTCAAAAATACGTCTGAGGCAGATTTCTAAACGTGAGTACAATACAGTTCAAAAAGTCCAGGAGAGACATTAGGCAAAAATACTGTAATAAAACCCTGTAGTTTCCACATTAAAAATCACAGTGGGAGGGGCTGTGACTGAGACAGGAGGCAGTGTTAGCAGGACAGGGGCCGATATGAGGGGCCCATGGATAGAAGGGTGGAGGACAAATTAGGCTGGATGTGACAGTAACACTATCTAAAGTTTCACTATTTCTTATAATATTATATTCCTATTAACTAAACTGATCAAGAAAACGCAGCAAACCATACGGAACATGATAAATAACTACTGAACTTTGATAAATCTAATATTCAGAAAATATCTAACAATAATTAACCCGTTCTACGCTAAACAAGTTATAAGTAATGTTTATGAAAAAGGGTCATTTCATGCAAACTCACCTGAACTAACTTTGAGTTATTGACAGTACACTTTCCTGAAGACGTTATTTTAGTTTTTGTCGCCATTAGAACTCTTTGTAAATGAATAAGTGAATTTTCCAATTTAGCTGAAGTTAAGTAGAAAGCCTGGAAGAATATCTTTAAATTCACACGACAATAAAAAATTTTAGATTTTTTTTTTTTGTTTGTTTTTTTTTCACCTGATCTGAATTGGGTCAGTGTATGACCCAGAGGTATGTTCCTTTCAGTATAACTAAGACACAACACAGGGCAGCGTGTGTGTGTGTGTGTGTGTGTGTGTGTGTGTGTGTGTGTGTGTGTGTGTGTGTGTGTGTGTGTGTGTGTGTGTGTGTGTGTGTGTGGGAGGGGGGGTGTTAATCTACTGTAGATACATCACTTCCTGTTATCGCCCTCGGTCAAAACCTTTCACTTTGTCCTGAGCTTGTTCTCACCAGCCTGTGGGCTTTTCAAGCTTCAAACAAGCGGAAAGCAAACAAAGTACAGCTGAGCATACTTCATTTTCCTACGACACGTTTCTGTTTACTCGCGTCTCTCATTTGTTCCAGAGTTTCCCCTCGGCGGCCAACCTCTGGTTCAGCCGGCAGAGCTGCCGCAGGAAGCCGTCGTTGGGTCCGATCTCTCGTCTCTGCCGCACCATGGCCACAGCGGTGTGGACGTCCATCTTTTGGTGAAGCATGAGGTAAGCGACGACCAGGGTGGGCGAGCGGCTGTAGCCTTCCCTGCAATGCACGTACACTTTGCCTGGAGGAGACGGGAAATGCGAGCAAGTTCAGTTTGTTGGAAAGCAAACTGCACCTCGGAGCGAAAACGTTTGTCAAAAGGTTTCAGATCCGTCGCATTTCCAGTGAAGTGATGCGTGTCGGAGTTTGTGTTTGCCACGCTGTACCTTTTCCACTTTTGTATGCCAGGGCCTTCTTGATGAAGTCCGCCGCCTCTTCGAAGTAGACGCTGATGTCGAAGTGGTCGGTGTCGTTGGCCGGGATGCCGTGGTAGGTGATGCCTGAGCCCGCGTAGAACTCGGCGTTGGTGTTGACGTGCATGAAGGAGTTTCCCTCCGCTGCGTTCAGGATGTGACTGACGCCCAGGCGCTTGAGGCGCATCACGTTAGTCGCCACAAATCTAAACAAGAAGGCAAATCTGTAAGGAGCATTCTTAAGAATATGAATTTTGCTGAATTCAATTTTAGGGATGCACCGATGGCAGTTTTCTGCCGATTGTTGATCTTTGCAAAGTCTGAATCTGCCGGTTTAGATCTCCCAAAATCAAGGAACTCGGTGCAACGCCTTTCTTAATATCAAGAGGTTTAGAGGCTCAGGTCTGATTTTTTCTTCAAGCAGAAGCACATATGAACATGAAACTGCGACATTTCTCAGTGTTGTTTAACTCCTGAGTAAAAATTCAACATATGACCTAAACATCCAACTTAACATATATGAACAGATCTTCGGGGACTCATTCTTCCCTCCTCCGCCTTCTCCCTGCATCCCTTTTGAGCTGGAACAAAGTCGTGCTCCATTTAACCGTGAACCTCTGCTGCTGCTGCGGCGCTTCGCACCTCCATCCTCTCAAACCCAAAGAGCTAAAAATAGTCACCGGAGACTGAAGGCAACACAGCAGAGATGAAAACATCCGCCAGGCAGCCAGGCGTGGGCGCGTCTTCTGTTCACCCTGCTCCACCGTCCTATATGTAGTGGTTCCCTGCATGGCAACCGTGACCACTGCTCTTCTGTGTTCTTTAAATCTTTTGACACGTAGGTGGAATTATAAAAAAGAAAATGACACCTTAGAGTTTGTCTTTCATGCTTCTGTTTTTGCCATGAAAAGCTGAGAAGTGCATTTTCCTCTAGAACATTCCGACTCAAGCGCCTCTTTGCGTTTATGTACGGTTTTCAAAGGAGACGGGATCATTTCAAGTCTTTATTTTTTCTCTTAAAAAGCACTGAGTGTGAATATGTTTTATAAGAAAAAATTTGTTCCTGCATTCACTTTGCCAAATATAATTCAGCGAAACTCAAAATGTGGTACAAACAAAAATCAGAAAGTACTACCAGAGTCATACTTTCTAGAACCAGTTATCTGCATTTTCAGCTGCTTTTATTTTGTTCGTATTTTTACCGGTTTTGTATTATGTTTAACTTTTTTTGATGAATTCCTCTCTCTTTGGGCTTGGCTGACCTACTCCCAGCTCCCTCTGTAGATTTTCTACAGTGTGTGTGTATGTGTGTAGGCGTGTGTGCGTGTGTGTGTGTGTGTCAAACTCATTTCCATTTTGGGCTCAAGAAGATCCTGAAAAGAGCCAGTTCTAGCCTAAAATGAATTGATAAAACCATCCATTAGCGAACTTGTAATGAACAGCTGCGTCTGTATTCGACTTGGTTCAAATTTATAATCAAGTAATTGCAGGATCTGTAATCACAACTCAATCAAATTCTATTTATTGCCAAAATAAGCAACATTTTCCATAATAAATCTAATCTATTTTTTGTCCATTTAGATTAGTAAAAAAGTTTTTTTTTATGTCTCTTTATTCAGTTCAACAGATATATGCATCATTTTCATCTGTTACTTAGGTTCTTCAAAAATCAGACGGGTGCTAGCGCTGCTGTAGCCACTGAGTTTTCCAGTGTTCCAGGAAATCTTAATAATTCATGGCTCTTCTTGAGGAGTGAGGACTGCTGGTGTCTGTGCTGCTGCAGCATGTTTAGCATGGAGAGGCTAGTTTAGGCTTCAACAGCTTCACTGATAGGCTAACTCCAGTTAGCCCAAATTGAACACAACCGCAGTGTTCTCCAGCGTCCAATCAGATTTTTTATCTTTTTTAAGCACAAATTGACCCCCCCAATGGCCCGATGGAGGCGACGTTGTCATCCATCGCTGTTCGCGGATGTAGCTTGTGCATCAGCTTTACGGGCGCACCAGAAACACGAGAACACAATGGTTCCTGTTGGAACCTCTGTATGTAAAAATAAAATTTGATTAATTGTTTTCACATTTTTATACCCGCCACATGAAAATCACATTAAATCCCAGTAAAAATAGAATTTCCTTCCTGCCGCAGGATTCAGTAAGTACAGTGAGTGAAATGTGGAGCGTGGCTCCGGGGACGCTGTCCCCCTGCAGAGGACAGGTGAAGCACAGCAGCTATTTTCAGCTGCTCTCACAGATCCTGGTCTGATCTCAGCTCCTTGAGCTTTGAAGAAGATGCTCTCGGTTTGTCACAGAACATCATCTCTTCGCCGCACGAATGTATGTTTGTTCCACAAGCAAGAGAAGCGGCAGGCAGAGGGCTGCACTCACTTTAATGAATTCATTTTCTAGAAAGATGTGGAGCTTCCATGTTAGACCCTGAGAGAATGCAATTATTATTATTATTATTATCATTATTATTATTATTATTATTAAATTTGATCAGTAATATAATTGCAACAAATCAATTGTCCTACATATGTTTTCCAACATCATTTTTAAACATCAAAATATCTTTAACAATAACTTGCTGAAACCGACTGACAATAATTACAAATCAATAAGAGGAATAAACCGAGATAAAAGACATTTGATTCAGTTTCATTTAACGAGAGTCTTGAATAATGACGTGACCTGAATAGGAACACTGCAGGTTGCTTCACTCATGACACACTTAAAGATGGTTTCCATAAAACATGGCTGCGGGACTCACGCGTTGCCGATGTAGATCCGCGGGTGAACCTCGTGGAAGTGTCTGGTGGGCCAGCTGTAGAAGCCGCTGTCGTCCGTCAGCAGGTCGTTGAGCTGCTGCAGGGAGACCTCGAAGCTGGACATGTCCGGGAGCGGCGGCTTTGCGCCCCGCTGCTGTTTGCTCCTCATGTCCGCCGAGGCGTGCCGGAGGACTTCCAACAGGCGCATCTGGGGGGGCAGGCAGGTGTCGGCTTACAGGGCTTGTGGTTCGGCGGTCAGCTGTGTTTCCACGACGGGCTGAGCTGTGAATACCGAGCTGCGGCTCAGCGCCGGTGCACAGATACAGGGGCGGAGCAAGTTCTGTCACGGCCCCTACCTGTTGTAGCCCCCCTCCCACCCTCCTAGAATAAAGAGGCTATTGGTGGGTTATTGTTAATTTATTACAGTGAATTGTTTTTGTGAACTATGACGAATTTCCAGTTATCAAATACAAAATATTTAGGATCAGAATATTATAATATTAATATTAGAAAAACATTTTTAAGGGAGAAAACTGGTTTAAGGTTGTTCATTTCAAAAGGTGTCAAATGATGTTGATGATGCTTAAAGTCTCCAAATCTGTCCGTATTGTTGGGATTGCTGGTTTCACTATTTTCCCCACAGTTTGTTCAATGAGAGCATCTATAAATATCACTTCATTTGAAAATATGATTACATGCAGCCATTATGTGGAGTTTAGTGACATAAATCACATGAACATGTGACTGGTGTCCTAAAGAGTCATATTTGAAATAGGCATGTTTTTCAAGAGCAGTATTTTCATACCTCTGACCACTAGATGGCAGCAACGTGCTTCCAGTCGAATCCTTGCAATTGTAAATATGAGTTTGTGCATCTGTGAACATTAACTCACCAAAAGGCGTAATCAGAACCATGTAGCTATTTTCCAGAAATGTTTCTACCAACAAAAAAAAGAAAACTCCTTCATGTTACCATGGAGACAGTTTCGGCTGTAAGTAATGCTTTCTAGGAACGAGGCCTTTCTGATGTTCGACTGAAAAAAGACAAATATTCACTGTGCAAGAAATAGTATTTATTGATTAACAGACTTAAAGGAAACAATTCAGCGACAGGCACTGCATTGAAGGTGGGAATGAATCTAAAGTGCAAATGCTGCACAGTAAAACTGGGGAAGGAGAAGAAACCCTGTGCTTCAGCGCTCAGCTGTTGGGGAGTCTGACTTTGAGGGCAGAACCGTTTCAGAGAAAGACGAGACGAGGAGGAGGCAAGATATGGACGATGCAGAAGTTACTGAGTTAGGTCAGGAAATGATGGCCAATTTGAAATGCCAGACCAGCTGGAAAGAATGTCCCGGTAAGAAAACCCCAAAAGGTAGCAATGAATATAGTTGAATATAGTTGACTACAGTTGATACGATGCCATTAACAGGAGAAATCTGTCCCTATAAAAAGAAAAAAATAAAACATTAAAAATCTCCTTTTTGACCAAATTCCTATGGTTTACCCTGACAAACAATTAGGGCATCGAGTGTTTTGAGTAACTGCTTAAAGTTCAATGTTCTGTCTTCTATATAACTCCTCCATATCTCCATCCTCTGAAAACGTGCACTACTTACTACTCAACAATCAGGATGTTGTTGAAGGTATCAAGTGCTAGCTCTGAGCTAGTAGATAGTAAGAAGCAGAACTCCCCCCCAGAGTCGCGTTGGCCTTAGCAAAACTCGGGCTGCAACTTCGCTGCACGACAGCGAAGAACTTTCAAGAAGCTGTCGATCTTGTGCGAGTCGCGGCGAAGGCAGGACAGCAGGAAGTTGAATTTGTTTAGTATGGTGATCCGGTCCTGGCCCAGGTCAGTCCCACCGGTGTACGGCAGCAAGGAGATGGCTTGAGCGGCCGGACCCATCTGGAACAGAGGAAGGCCGTTGAGGTACAAGTGGGGAGCATTTTATCAAAAACCGCACTAGGTGTAAGAAATCTTGCTCACCTTGCCAGACAGTATGTCCAGACCGTCCGTCAGGCTTTTGGAATGCTCCTGCATCTCCTGGACCTTGCTTGCTATGCTGCTTTTGGCCGGGTGAGGCAAGGTGATGGCGTTGGTAGACAGGACCACCAACGGATCCACCCAGGCTTGGAGCAGGGAGCGGGCCAGAGACATCAGATCTGACTCCTGGAGAATAAGCCAGAACAACAAGGAGGTTGTTCAAAGACCAGTTTCTCAGTAGGGAAAAGCTCACGAAAGAGCAAAACCCAGACCGACTTACAGAAACTTGCAGAGCTTGCTCTTTATCATTGGGCGTCTGTAGAACTGAGGTGTGGCAGTCAGCAGGACGAGGCATCTGGATCCTACCGTAAGGAGGGAAGTGAGAGTCCTAGGAGAAGTAAAGGGTGATTGTCACATTGTCCAAAAGACAACATCTCTGAACATTATCAAGAACCAGCAGACCTATAAGAGTTCACTACATCTAGTGAAAGCCATAGAAGAGATCTGACTGGATTTAATCAGGCAGCAGTGAGGTCTTACCATCTCTTGGGTGAGCAGCGTGCTCAGAGAGTGCATTTTGTCGGAGCGCTGTGAGGCTCGGTCGAGCAGGTCATTGATGGGCACGGCTCTGCACATGGCCACCAGGTACACGGCTGGAGCAGGACGCAGGAGACAAGACAGCTTTTAGACTCTGAGCTCTGTAGCGTTGGTGTCTAAATGTGGTTTGTTTCTGGTAAATCGTATCACTTATCACCAAGTATATGTTAGCTACCGGTATCAAGGTGTTCCAGCATTTAAAGAAGTAGCAGTTTGACAGTCACAAAATGTTTCAGGCATCTCATTTAGAGGAAGCGCTCTCCCTTCCCCATCTGTTGCTGTGCACTGCCAGTCAGATGGCTGAAGAGAGGCTGCTAGGCTTTTCCCTGAGTTTTCTCCCAGCAAAGAAAACTTTGACTTCTAGTTGCAAAAAAGACACAGACCGTGATAATACGGAAACTCAAGGTGTGTCAATGAAGGCTGACAACTCAATTAGTTTCAAATGTAATAAAAGCGTGCAATCAGCACTTAATAATTTGTAGTTTTAGTGGGTTTTATATACAAAATTATAAGAATTTTTAAAAGTTTGTGTATTAGAATCAATTTACAGCTGATCAATCTGTGTTCTTTTTTCATTTTAACTAGAAACCATGAGATCGTTGTATTTTTGCTCAGAGTTACGATTGTGTAAATTCTCGTTCCAGCCAAACTCTGGGCTTGGCTTTGGCTTCGTTGTGGTTTATCTTTTTATTGAAGAAGCTAAATGTCGGCCAGATTTATATTTTAAAATCCAAGAATATTACATTTTAAGAAACTGATCATCAGACTTCCATCGGTGGGTTTCACCTCAGTCCACGTTTCTTGTTCTTGCAGCTTAGGAAGTTGTCTTCATAGACTCACAAACAAATGTATTTTCTTCATTTTGCATAATATTGCATGAATCTTTTTTGTTGTTTTTTGGGGTTCTTTTTTGTTAAAACACAGGAAAAAAATAATAAAAACCCATCTCACCTGTGATGAAGAGCTTTCCTGCGCTGATTCTTCTCTGAGCCATCGTTCTCTCGTCTGTCCTGCAGGCTCTCAGTCTCTTTCTTCTTCTTCTTCTTGGCCCTGATGCCTTTTTTTTCGCTCTTTTGCTGCATTTTGCTCCCATTTTATAGTTCCTCGGATCTGACACTTTGTTTATGGAGCAGTGGGATGAGTCTGCACTAATTGTCCAGAACTTGCTTTGACCAGTTTATAATGAGAAACATGGTGGAGGGGCTTTGAATGGATGCAACAGGATGAGGTGAGGTGCCAGTACAAACACCTTGCGTATGCGTGTGAGTGTGTGTGTGTGTGTGTGTGTGTGTGTGTGTGTGTGTGTGTGTGTGTGTGTGTGTGTGTGTGTGTGTGTGTGTGTGTGTGTGTGTGTGTGTATACGCATGGTGTAGAAGTGGAAAAATTTCCTCCCTCGTGTTGATTAAAGTGATGAATAAAAACATCAGCTCTCACTAAGTTTTAGGAGGTTTTCCTCATTTTGTCTGAATGTCACTGATGGCCATCTGGTCATGAAAAGTGGATTCATCTGATCTGAGAGGTAAAATATGGATATGAATACAAATTAGGATGAAAATTAAAATGACTCTTTAAGTCATATTTTTAAGATTTTAGGATCAGTAAAATAGTTTTTCAGATTTTAAACCTGCCCTGGGAGAAAGTTTTCTTCTTCATGATATTACAGTTAATTTCCTCAGAATAATAAATGATAAAAAAATAAATTCATTATTTTATATAGAGAGAGATTATTTACAAGCAAAAGATCTATTAAGTGTTTCTACTTATTTTTCTTTGAAAACTTCTATGTTTTCTCTTTTTTACATGTTTTTCTCATTTTAGTAAGATGTACTTTTTTAACCAAATCCAACTAAAACCAAAGACAATTCTTTTTGTCTGATATCAGTCAATTTTACTTGTAACATGTCCACAAAAGTCATAGATTTAGCTCCCTGTATCTGACTGTCTGCGATTAAAAAAAAAAAATTATAAAAGAAAATAGGAATATATTTTGGTAATGAATATTAGGCAATTATTTAAACTTTTATGTTAAAACATTCCCTCTTCAGTGTAATTTTGATGCTTATACTTAAAGGTTTAAATAACATTGTTCTAAGAGTGTGTTACTTATTTACGTGCAGGCGCGTCTGTATATAAATACACTCCTGATCAAAATCTTAAGACCAGTCAAAAAATTGCAAGAATTTGCATTTTGCACTATTGAATCTTAAGAAGATTCTAAGTAGAGCTTCACAATGTTAAAAGAAAATATTAGTGCAAGAGACAAAAACATTTGAGCAGGGAATTTTCTGAAAACTGCATTTACACTCAAACATGATTTTTTCAGCTGATCAAAAGTTTAAGACCATAGTCTTTAAAAGCCAAAAGCTGTGCAAAAATCTGGATTCCATGTCATGTTCTGTGAAGTCTTTACACTGTCAAGACCTCCAGATGGCAAAAGCAAAAAAATTCACTGACTTTGAACGTGGCAGGATTGTTGAGCTGCATAAGCAAGGCCTCTCACAACGTGCCATTGCTGCTGAGGTTGGACGCAGTAAGACAGTCATTTTGCATTTTTTAAATGATCCTGAGGGTTATGGAACAAAAAAGTCAAGCGGTAGACCCATAAAAATTTCACCAGCTCTGAACCGCAGGATCCGATTGGCTGTCCATCAAGACAAGGGACGATCCTCTACCCAAATTAAAGCCATTACTGGTGCCGACTGCAGCCCGATAACCAT